GATGCTCTGCTGAAGGAGGAGGGACAATCTCCTCCTGTACCAGTCAGATCTGATTTGATAGTACACAGAAAATAATAATCATAAAAAAGAGTAAATTTTATTTATTATGTAAATAGGCACTCAATCCATACTTGATAAATTGAATTGATTTTTTTTCTTATGTTGTGTATTTTCATTTTAATCATAGCCTGAACTGAATTTTTAAATTTGAATAATTACAGGTACTTTATACACCTACAGGTGAACACATACAAAGAGTTCTGGTAGGTTAGTGGTGGGGAGTTGCACTGCCAACACACAGGCAGACATTTAAAATCCACCAGCTGCTCCATTAGAGGAAGGTAGGCAGTCTCCTCCCCTGCGATTTAGAGTACACAGTTAGGGTGCACTCTGGCTGCCCTTTCTCCAAGCCCTATCTGTTTGTTCTTTTGGCAGTCCATGGAATATCCAGCACCGTAACTGAAATGCTTTGATTCTTCTCCTGCCATCCTTATTCATTGTCTAGTTTTCAGATGCATAGCCTGTAATTGGAAAGACTCTGGCTTGAATAAGGCACACCTTAGTCTTTAAACTGACATCATGGCTCTTTAGGACTTTGGAACTATCTTAGACAGTGCTGTATATCGCCTAATCTTGTGAGTGCTACTGCCAAAGGTATTGACTATGTATCTAAACAAGATGAAATTATTGACAGTTTCAATCTTTTCTTGTTCTGTTTTGATGTTGCCATTGACCACATGGTGACTTTTGTTTTCTTGATGTTGAGATGTAATATACATTGAAAGCTATAATACTTGATCTTTGGCAGCAAGAGTCTCAAGTCTTCCTCACTTTCAGCAAGCAAGGTTGTGTCATTTGCTTAACACAGATTGTTAATGAATCTTCCTCTGATCTGTCCTGTTGTGTCATTTTCATTAAGTGCAGCCTGTCTCATGATTTGTACAGCATATGTATTAAAGGTGTTACCACAGTTCACCTTAGAGGCAAAGATGGTAAAGCTTCATCTACATACTTTGGGCATGTTGCATGGAGAAGATATTCTTTGGAGATGGCCATCATGCTTAGAAGGGTGGAGAGATGACATAAGAGAGGAAAACCTTTAATTAGGTGATTGACACGATGACTGCAACAGTGCGTTCAAGTATGTTGGAGTGAGGATGGCACAGGATAGGATAGGGTTCAGGTCTGTTGTTCAAAGGGTCAACTGTGAGTTGTGTTTGACTTGACAACACCTAAAAACAATGATAGATGGAATAGGGTGGAGAAAGGATACAACCCTGAAGCATGCCTTTCTTGATTTTAAACCAAGTATTGTGCCCTTGTTCTGTTCAGACAGTTTCTTGGTATTTATAATATATATTTATATAAGTGTAATTGTGCTATGGGCAAAATCTTAGCATAATTAAGTGTTCTGAAATTTCCCATCTCTGTTAGTCAAAGTTTGTTATAATCTGCCAGTCAAATGTCTTTATACTGGCAATAAAACACAGGTAGACATTATTCTGGTAGTCTAGACTTTCAGCCAGGAACCATCTGACATCAGCAAAAATCTCCATGGCCATCTGACATCAGCAAAAATCTCCATGGTACCATGGCCTGTTATAACCTCAACTTGAACTTCTGGTCGTTCTCTATCAGTATACTGCCCTAACTATTTTTGGGTGATCTTCAGCAATATTTTGCTTGTGTGTGATATTAGTGATACTGTTGGGTAATTTCTACACCTACTGGGTCACCTTTCTTGGGAGTGGGTTTATATATGGGTCTCTTCCTGTCAATTGACCAGGTAGCTGTCTTCCATATTTGTTAGCACATCCAGGGCTGCATCTGTTAGTTGAAATATGTCAACTGATAACCCATTGATTTCTGAGGCCTTGTAAAAGAGCAAGTGCCATGTGGGGACTGTTATATCTGACCTTTACCAACTTCACACTGGGGAACTGTTCCTGTGCCCAGCATCAGTAACACAAAACCAGTTTCTATCAGGTTAGACATATTTTCATTGCTTCATACCTTTTTCTGCTAATCTCAACCAATCTTAGTACTTGCTGGGTCCAAAATCCTATGTGTTAGCTCAGAGACCACACAGAACCATATTGTGAAGTTGAGAGGTTATTACTCAAATTCATAACAGAATATAGTCAAGACAGCTCCCAAGATGTGTGCACACAGACACATTGAGGCTGAGGCCTCAAGCCTTGAGGCGTTCCTAAATTCTCTGACCTGCCAATATTGGCTCCCCACCCAATTATCCAACAAAATTCTCAGTCCTGTCAACACTGGCTCTCTACCCAATTGTTCAACAAAGTTCTTAGTCCTGCCAGTATTGGCTTCCCGCTACCCCCAGAGTCCCATCTCATGTCAGTTCTACAGGTTAGCCATGGCTGCTGCTGTCCAGGAGCATGTCCTGCATTTTCCTGCCTCCCCTTTACTGGGGTTGGGATGATCTCTTTTCTTTGTCTGAGGAGGATTTCTTTTTTTTTTTTTTTTTGAGGAGGATTTCATCTCTGCAGTTAGAACTGTTCAATTTATTGGCTAGACTAGCTAATCTTTTAAAAGATTATTGAGACTGCCCAATCCTCTTGTGGAATGGTAGATAGCCAGTCCCTTTGTGAATAAGCCAATACACCCCATTCGTATAGTTGCGCCCAACCACGTACATTAGTAAAGCAAACACCATTATGCTTTCAGCATACATTGAAAGACAAAACACCATAGGCATTTTTTTTTATGAGTACCCTCAATGTATCTTGAACTTCTCTTATCACCATTGGCTCCTCTTCCACATATGATATTTTCTGAGATATTTCAGTGTTGACCAGTTCTTCATGACAAAATGACTCTGTGTATTTCCTCCATCTTCTATTTCCGGTGTCCTTTAAGATATTTTCTTCAGCATCTCTCAGTATTGCAATGTGAGGCTTGGCTTTTTTTTCCCCTGTTCTTTCAATTTGAGATGTGCCATGTGAATTCTTCCTTTTTTAATCTCCAACTCCAATTCTTTGCACATTCCATTATAAATATATTTTATCTTCTCAAGCTGCCTTTTGACATCTTCTGTTCCTCTTTTTTACTTCAGTATCTCTTCCCTTTGTCTTGGCTATTAATGCTCCATTTTCAGTGTCTTTTCTGACATCCAGTTTTCTTTTTCTCTTCTGTCTTTTTAATGACCTTTTGCTCTCTTCATGGATGATATCTTGGATGTCATCCCACAACTCCCCTGGTCTTCATTCTTTAGTGTTCAGAACCTTATACCTATTCTTGAGATGACTTTTTAGTTTAGATGGGATAGACGTAAGTTCCTACTTTGTTACTTGTGTTCTTGTTTATATTGTCTTCAACTTCAGTTTGAACTTGTACATTGATGTACATTGATGTAATTGATGGTCTGTTTTGCAGTTACTGGCCTGGTTTTGACTGTTGATATCAAGCTTCTCCAGTGATTCTTTTCGTTTTTGTAGTTAATCTGATTCCTATGCAGTCCATTTGGTGAAGGCTGTGTGAATAGTTGCTATTAGTGTTTCTTAAGAAAGGTTTAAATGAGGAATATGTCATTGAATGTACAAAATTCAGTCATTAGCTCTCCACTGTCCTTTCTGTCCCTAATTCCATAATTTCCTTAATTCTATAATTTCCAACTACCATTACTTTTACTTTGTTCCCAAATTTCCTTTCCAGTCATCAGTTATTGTTATTGCATCATGACTCCAAGTTTGGTCAATTTCAGACTGCAAAAAATTGTTAGAATTCCTTGATATCCTCAACTTTGGCTTTAGCTGTTGCTGTATAAGTTTGGATAACAGCTACATTAGTAGATCTTCCTTGTGTGGATATGCATAGAAGCCCATCACTCACAGCATTTCACTTTATGATAGCTCTTGCAGTGGTCTTTTTAACTGTCAATGCAATACCATTATTCTTCAATTTTCACTCCAAATCATATGATTCTGTAAAGCAGAGTGGCCAACTCCAGTCCATCTTAGCTCAGTAATGCCTAGAATATCTAACTTTATGCATCTCATTTCATTTATATGTATATATAATGGGAAGTTCATTGATAAGCTTGTCATTCATTAATTTATTCTTACATTCAGAAAGTGTTTCTTGAGAACTCACTTTGTGAGGGAGTGTGTTAAATGCTGGGATAAGACTGTAAGAATAAGATTTGCCTTTGTGTAATAATGGTGGTTTATCTGAATATATTCAATTATGGAAAAAATTGAGGAGTAAAGTGAATTTTGAAAAATTATTGAGCTGTGGTGTTGGGAGTATTGAATATAACATTGACTGCTAGGAAAACAAACAGGTTGTCCTGGAGATGGTTAAACCGGGCTAGTCCTTGGAGGCAGAGATTCTGAGACTTCGTCCGACATACTTTGGACATGTTGTAGGAGTGATCAAGTCCTTGGAGAGAGACATCATACTTGGGAGGGTGGAGGGACAGCGAGGGAGAGGAAGACTGTTGATGAGATGAATTGATTCAGTGACTGAAGTAGGTGTGTCAGAGACAGTGAGTTTGGCACAGGGTAGAGCAGGGTTTAGGGCTGTTGTACATTAGGTTGCTATGAGCCACAGGAAATTCGATGGCATATAACAACAACAACAACAACATAGCAAAATAAGAAATACAAAATTCTACTGCATCACCTCCATAAAAGAGAATTAGTTCTACTTCTAAAAATTGATTTCTATCTAATAACAATGGAAAAGCTTTGTGGGACTTGTTTTTTACCTTGGGTGTTAATGATAGTTGCTTTCTTTAGATAGATGGGATAAAATGAATTACCTATTTTCTATTTTTATTTTATTACCCTTTAGAACTTTGATGCCAGATTATTTAAGTTAGGCTGTTTCTTTTGCATAATCTTTAGCTCTATCAGAGTAGTAAAAATTTGGTATTGGCATATATGATTTATAATCTCTTTGAGTGCTCTGGAGAGGACAGAAAGCACTTAGAAGAATGCTTAGTTAAATGAATATTTGTTATTTGTGGTTACAATTTAATAGTTCACTGCCATCTGCTAGCAAAATTTCCAGAATTTATGTACATATATTTTTTCTCCTCATTGAAATTTCAGGGCCAGGCAAGAAGATACATTTGCAGCAACTCTGCAGTGCTTAACAATACTAAGAATGGTGTAATTTCCTAATTTGTTCAAGGGGATCTTATTTATTCTGCCATTTATTACTTGTGACATTTAAGTATGCTCTAAATAATTGTTCTTTTGTGTGTTTGATTTAGCTTTTAAAAGCTTTTGAGAATGCTTTGGATTTGTCAGATAAGATTCCTAGTGAAGATCACCAAGTACTTTTTAGACAGTTCATTCAGTGTTTACTCAAGGTAAGGTTGTTTTTAAATCCTCTGTGTAACTTATATATTTAAAACCAGAAAGTGTCTACAAACACATTTTACTAATATGGGATCTTCGTTTATTTTACTTCCATATTTTCAAGTTTCCTCATGAGAAGGAAAGATTGAAGATGGCCTGTGAAAGAATGATAAACATCTATCCCACTGAACAGTATCCATTAGAAGTAATTTGTTTGCATTTAATTGAATCAGGTAATTTTTTCTTTATTATGTTGTTGTCCTAGAAATATATGAGTGAGAGTATCATTGCTTTAAATTAATAAATAAAATGTTATACTAACCATGTATAAGAAAGATACCATTTTAAGGTTTCTGAACATAAAACAAAGTGTAATGTGTTGGTCTTTGTCCACAAGAAAAGGCTAATAAACATAGGTAAGTACATTGATACAAAGGAATTTTGAGTTACTGTTGTTCAGTAATCATTTTTGAAAGTCAGAATTTAAAAGGGTTTTGAATTTTCTGTAGAAATGAAGTAAACAGGCACTCTGTGTATTATGTGCTGAAATGTGGATGTAGATACCAACAGTGTTTTTTAGTTTTTGTTAGTGTTTGGGTTTTTGTTTGTTTGTTTTTTTAGGAATTCTTAAGTTTATTTGCTATAACAGAAGGAATAATTGAGTTCCAATTTGGAGGGTCAGCTCTGAGTTGATTCTGACTTTGACTTTTTTTGACTTTGCATTTAGGTTAAGCTATCTTGTATAATGGAGCTCTCTTGGCCTAGTATATAAGGAGTAGTGTTGCCAGTTCAAAGACATTTGATTCAAATCCATCAAGTTCTCTGTGACTGGAAGGTGGTCAGTCTCCTCCGATGCAATTTTTAGCCTCTAAAATCCCTGCTAAAGGGTCCACTATTATTAGTTGGTTCTGACTTGAGGACATTGCATTTGGTTTTTGTTTTGTTTTAATTTGATGTTTCCTAAGGATATGAATAGGTTGAATTATATTATGTAATGAACCCTGGCAGCCTAGTGGGTAGAGAATTGAACTACTGTTCCAAAGGAGGCACTTCTCTGGTGGTTTGAATCCACTCATAGCTCTGTTGGGCAAACTCCTGTGTGATATACAGGCTCCAAAAACCTTCTGGAGGGTCAGCTGTGAGTCAGTTCTGACTCAATGACAATGAATTTGAATTTTTAAGTTTATATTATATAGGACTAAGAATGCTATCAGAGGAGCTTGGGAAAGATTACCCTCTCAGGATACTGATCTTACACCATAGTATTTCAAGTACATTATTAGGAATACTGTACTATTAAAAAGTCATGAAGTTTGTGAGTGATCTTTTCTAATGAAATAGAGCAGGTTCAAGTTATAGAATATATCTTTATTTCATACTCATGTTTCTTCAAGTACTTTGTTTTGAGAAAGATAGAGCTGATGATACTTATTTTGCTAGAAGGGATAATCTGTCACTTTATAAAGGTTGACCATACTGGTTTTTCATCACAGGTCTCTATCTTTTGTGTAATTTCTGAAGCTTAATTGATTACTTTAAAAATGATATGACTATTTAAAAAAATGATATGACTATTAACTTCTACTCATTTCTATGCTCATTTGAGGTAAAAAAGGGCACTGAAGTCACTCACTGAAATAGAAATTACAGTACTGGCAGTCAGTACTCCTAGCAATGATAACCTGTTGTCACACCTTATGAGGACAGTTATTTCTTTATTGCCCGTTATGGGCGTGCACATGCAGATGCTTTGTATCTGGATACCTATCACATGTATCATGGTAGAAAAATGAAGACGACTGTTGGAGATAATTGTGAGGCAAAATTCCTGGTCCAAAGATTAGCTCTCCCTACTTTAATTCTCCCTGTAGGTTCTATTACACTTGTATATGCCCAGCCACCCAATGTTTTGAATCAGTAAAACTGCTGTTACCTTCAGTTCTGGGTTTTGTGAGATTTTTGAGGTGTTGTTTTGTTTGTGTTTTTTTTTTTTTTTTAGATGAAAGCAAATTCTCATTCCCTTACTTATGATGACTGAAAGGTAGACTTGCAAGACCACTTTTTACTATCAGAAGAGAATAAAACACAGCAAGTGTTATAACAGTTTATGAAGAAGTTTTACACCAACATGGTACAGGATAGACTAGAATGTCCTGGTGTTAAGACTAAGTTGGGTAGAGTAGGCATTATGAACTAGAGTTATTGAAGTGATGATAGGAAGAAACAGAGGGGAAAAATTATGCAAGGGGGTTTGCTAAATATGGTGGCCTAGTGACAAGAAGCTGTGCTTCAATCCCAAAAGCATGCAGTTTGAGGCCACCAGCTGCTCTGCGGGAGAAGGATGGGAAGTCTCCTCCCTTGATTAACTGCCTCTGAAAATCCGCCAGAGGATTTGCTCTGGGTCGGATTCAACTCTACAGTACACAACAACAACAATATTACAAAAAACCTACAAAATAATAGGAGAAATAGGATGACACATTTTTGCACATAAATACAGGAGATGACAAAATGTTATAGTAAAGATATAGCTATGTAATTATGCTGGTTGATTATAATGTGTTGGTTTTAAGGAAAAATTTTTGAGTAGGATTTGAGAGTTTATAATTTGAAGAAGGGAAGACTATGTGATGACAAAGGGGAAATGGTAAGTGATTATTTACTTAAGAGAGATATAAAATAAGAGAAATTAGTCTAAGGTAAAACTTTATTGGGTAGGGGGAATGGAAGTTTAGTAATTAATCGAATGGAAGACTGGAAAGCTGTACTTGAAAGTTTTCTTTGGGTTTTACACTTTTTAATTGCTCTTCTAAGCTGAACTCTGAACATTTTCAGGATTACTACATGTGACTTGCCCCATCCCAGAGTGCTTTAATATCTGCAAAATTTGCTACTTCAAAGCAGTTTATCTTTGACTTCTCTGACATTGGGAACAAATATATATCATTTTCTTTTGTTTTGTTTTGCTTGTTGAGACTTGAAGATTCATTTTCAAAATGATTTAACTTGTAAAGATTCATGACAAGTAGTGAAGAGCTTTTATAGCTGTCATCTTTTGAAATGTTACTTCATGTCAAATGATCTTATTAATTTTTTTTTCCTGCTGAAATAGGGAGCATAAGAAACTTAGCTTCTTCAAATCCAAGCAGAGTAAAACATCTTTAAGGTTTTGTGTACTAGAAATATTAGAAAATCTAACATAAATGATTAAAAAAATTACATGCTGTCAAACTGTGCATGCTATTTCCGCCCTCATAAGTCTTAAGTTTATATAAGAGAAAAATTCTGTAATATTGGTCAATTTGGGATGTCAAAAATGGATTTGTTACACTGAGTACTCTGACTGGGATCACAACAGTAAATCTGAGACAAAGTGGGAGAAAAATGTAGGGGAAAAAAGTAAAATTCACAAACAAAGCCAGGCACTTTCTGTTTTACCAAGAAATGTGTAACCCTGAGACTGTGGCTCTAATAGATCCTTCTGGACTGAAGTGAAAACCATTTGTTGGGACCAACTTTCAACCAAATTATAGGCCCCTTTAATGCCAAAAGGATCTTGTACCTTAAAACAATCAATTATATGAGATCAAAAGGAAAACAAATTTTCTGAAAATCAAATATGGAAGGGCAAGAAGGGGTAGAAAATTCAGACGAAAGGAATTTGCTACCAAAGGTGGAAATGGGAAGAATTCTGACACTTAGGGAATCTAACAAACGTCATGGAACACTGTATGTACAAATTATGAAATGGGAAACTAATTGACTTTGTAAGATTTCCCTTAAATCACAGTAAAAAGAAAAATTATATAGTGAAAACATCTCACCTTCTTGGTGCAGAACAAAAGAAAACAGAACCACTCTGGGTTTTTCAGACTACCTTTACTGTTGGAGTTTTAGCTCCCAAGTCTGGATTGCCTTACCTTCCTGCCCCAATATATTTTATTTTATGTTTTTTTGTTGAGAAGATTCACAGACAAATGTACCACCATTCAACAGATTGTACATTTAGAAATCCATGACATCCATTACATTGAACTTACATTAACTTACTGCTCCCTAAGTTTCCAAGCTAAGCTCTTGAACTGTTGTTATCAATTTCATCTCATACATAATACATAGTTTTTAAAAGAACTTAATGCTCAAGACATTCTTTAGTAGTAATTGTTTGGTTTTACAAAGACTTTAGTAGATATTTTTTGGTTTAACGCTATCTCAGGGCAGTAGTTTTATAAGTTTATCCAGCCTCCATGGCTACAGAAAGTTGATATTCTATGAGAACTTGAAAATCTGTTTTACCTTTCTCCCCTGTTATTGTTGTGTACCATTGAGTTGGAACCGACCCATAGCTGAACCTCCAGCGGGTTTTCAGAGTTAGTCAATCCCACGGGAGGAGATTACCCATCCTTCTCCCTTGGAGTGGCTGGTAGATTTGAACCATATGTCTTCAGGACTGCAACACAGCTTCTTGGTACTAGGCTACCAGAGCTCCTCCTTTATCCCCTACTGACCAAAATTCATCTGTGGAATCTTTGCTCAAAATATTCAGTAAAGTTAGCCAACATCATTCACTTCTCATTTTAGGGCGAAGATGGAGTTGTTAATGGAGGCAGTCAGCCACACATTCCATTCCTCTCACTACTCTGCTGCTACAAGTGATTAGAGACTGATTACTGTAACTTGTATGGCTTAGCTCAAACAGGCACTACACAACAGAGTAGGAGATAGTACTATTGCCAATTAAACCCAGTATTAGTCCAATTACTGGGGTGCCCTATGACTATGACTATTAACCTCTACACAAAAAACCAAATCCCATGAGGTCTTTTATTATATATAAGTAAAACAGATTTTCATGTTCTTAGTGGCTGCTCCATTTTTTTTTTGTTGTTGTTTAAATATACTGAAACCTGTGAAAACCAGAACTTAATGGGTTTGCTAAAATTTCCACCTTTAAAAAAGAATGACAATCAGTTCTCTATCCCTCATTATTTAGGAAAATATGAGTTTTCTGTGACAGTGTCCTGCCTTACACAGGTCTCTGCTTTCATACGTCTGACTGCATACCTCATACATAACTTTTGCCAATTCAACTTTTACTGGTGTACGATTTCTTGAAAATTACATTAGGGGGCTCTGAAATTCTATCCTTAATTAATATGAAGTGTCATCATGAAATGAAAGTCAGTTCTTCCTAAGAAATAACCTCCTTCTTCTACCCTCTATTCTGCTCTGAGTAGCTGCTAATATATTTTGGTCTCTATATACTTACCAGTGACTAACTGTCCTTGCTTTGAGACTTTAGAGCTTTTTGCTTTACTGCTGTATGCTCCCTTTATCTTGTCTTTTATATGCTATGTAATACTTTGGAAGCATCCACTTTCTAAACAAAATGCCTCTGGAAACTATGAAGTTTGAGAAACGACAATAGTTATAGAGAAGCTTCAGGTCTTTTGTTCATGGGGTTGCTATGAGTCATGCTTAACTTGATGGCACTCAACAACAACAATAACAACAACAACATCAACATATATTTTCCTATTCTCATAATTTTATGTAAATAAGGTCATACAATATTTTTCCTTTGTGACCGACATAATTTACATAGCATAATGTTTTCCATTTTCATTCATGCAGTAGCGTGCATTGCTCCATTTATCTTTCTGGCTGAGTATGTATGCCCTTGCATGTTTGTACAACATTTTGTTTATTGCATCTGTTGATGAGTATTTCACTTGTTTCAACTTTTGGCTATTGTGAATAGTGCTGTAGTGAACATGTGTATATGTGTCTGCTTATCTTGATGCTTTCAAGCCCCCTTTGTGTATCTGTAATGTGGAATTCCTAGATCATAGGCTAGTTTGGATTCTAGAATTTTGAGAAATATCCACTGTGGAAGACATTTTCTATTCCCGTCGCAATTGTTAAGGTTCTTATTCCTCTATATTCTCATGAACATTTATTACTTTTTAGCTTTTTAAAAAATCTTAAATCTTACACGTTCTAGTGGGAGTGGAATTATACCTCACGGTAGTTTTAATCCAGTGTCTTTGATAGATAATAACATTGGGCATCATTTCATATATTTCATGGTGATTTGAATGTCTTCTTTGGTAAATATCAAGTAATTTGCCCATTTTTTTATTGTATCATTTGTCTTTTTCTTAGTTGTCAAAGTTGTTATATGTATACTTTTTTATTATTAAATTTTTAGCAGGTACATAATTTCTTTGGCTTGACTTATATTGTCAACCAGAGAGCACTGGTAGCCTAGTGACAAGAAGCTGCACTGCAGCCCTGAAAGCACATGGTTTGAATCCACCAGCTGTTCCGTGGGAGAAGGGTGGACAATCTCCTCTCTACTTCTGAAAACCTGCCAGAGGGTCAGCTGTGGGTCGGTTACAACTTGATGGTACACAACAACAACAACATACTATCATATTGTTTTAAAAGTGAGTAGTAAGGAGTTGTGCTGCCATTCCAAAAACAGGCAGTTTGAATTCACCAGCAAAGATGGGAATCTGCTCCCATGTGATTTTAGGGCCTCTGAAACCCACTAGAGAGTCAAATATGAGTCCGCTGTGACTCAACAGCAATGAGATAGAGAGAAATCTAGAAGCATATAATCTGTTAAATGTTAAGAGCAGATATTGTTAGGTACCATTGAGTCTAGTATGACCCATAGCTACTCTATGAACAGCAGATCTGAACTATGTCCCTATTCTGTGTTGTCCCCACACTTCCTGACACTTTAGAGCCCATTGCAGTAGTCACTGTGTCAGTCCACCTGGATGAGGGTCTTCCTCTCCTTTACTGACCTCCCCCCTTTCCTTGTCCTTCTGCAAGGAATAGACCCTCATAGTAACATGCAAAATGTATATGAGGCAAAGCCTCATCATCCTTGTCTCCAAAGAGCACTTAAGTGTAACAAAATACTTTTTATTCACAACCTATAAAGCCTATTTTTTCTGTTTTCTTTTTCTATTAAAGTAGTATATTTTTAATCAGAGAACCGAGTTTAAGTTGAGTCTGTTTTGTTGTACCATCTGGTCAGAACTAACCCATAGCTGACTCTCCTATGGGTTTTCAGAGGCAGATAATTGCACAGGATGAGATTACCTGTCTTTCTCCCATGGAGCAGCTGGTGGGTTCAAACCAAGTACCTTTGCATTGGCAGCACAATTGTGTATTACTTAGCCATTAGAATGCCCTAAAATTGAGCCTGCTAGGATTCAGTTTATTAAAGTGGTGAATGCTATTCCATTTCCTCCCCTAAGAACAGCAATCAGGTGAGGGAAGCCAAATATCAAATTTAATAATAGTAAACCAAATGCTACATCAGGAAATGAGGGAGGCTTAATACAAGCTGAAGGTCACCTTGTGGCATTAAGGATTCCCTAAGAGTCAAAATTGTTCATAGTTTGTATCAAATGAATCCCTCCCTCCTGAGATTAGCACAAAGAGGCCTTCTCTGCAAAAGACTTCACCATTATCCTTTGTTTTTGTTTTGTACTTCTTTATGATTTTACTTTGTTTACTTTCCTTATGATTCTTAATAAATACTCAGAGAAGCATGGCTTGGGGCCTTCAGTCATGGGAATTGTTGGCCCCCTGTTTTTCACGCTCTCTGTTCTATATACTTCCTGGTAGTCTGTCTCATTATTAATAATTATAAAAATACTTTACCCTCGGTCTGCAACAATCAAGTATTCATTTCTTTTTAAGTTTTTGTTTTCAGAAATGGGAATGCTAAGATTAATCAAGATTGGAGAAAATGAATATAACACAATATATATTTTCTTAACAAAATTATTTCACCAAAAAGAAAACTGAAAATAAGCATAGACACTATGATTATAACATAAGGTTAACTCTAACTTTATATAGAAAAATATTGTTTCAAAAGAATGCATATATGTATTGTTGAGTTTGTAAATTTAAGAAGACTGTGCCTAAACTTTACAGTGTCTTTGAATAGTAGCATGTCCTTTTATCCTCATTTATAAGAGTCCACTAGATCTTGACTGGTCGCAACATGAATGTCTTACCTTTGCAATATGTGCTCAACCTATCACAAAGAATTTTGAATTTCGCATTTTAAATCTTTTGAATATGACTTCAGAATCAATATCTGGGAATTAAGATTGTTTCTTCTTCCATTATTCAAGAAGAGAAAGTATATAACTTTCTTTATGAAATACTTTCTGCTGTGTTTTCTAAAAAGCCCATTATGATTTGAATTCCTAAAACCAGGCTATTATGGGAGATGTATAAAATAGGTTTTAGAGATTTAAGTATGTGGAGTTTGGGCACTTAGAAATTTGTTACATATACATGAATCATGTTTTCTTTAAATTCTAGGAAATTTTACTGATGAAGCACAGCAGTATTGTTGCCGATTAGTAGAACTGGATTCACGAAGTGGTCCGGGTCTCATTGGTTTAGGAATTCATGCTTTACAAGATAAAAAGTATGAAGATGCTGTAAAGAACCTAACAGAAGGTAAGTGTACAGGTAAAGCTTACAACATGAAATGTAAAGTTATTTGGTCAGTGGGTATTGGGCAGTTTATCTTTACACATTTCTTTGAAGAATGTATATCTGAGATGGAATGAGTTCCTGATTGCTGGTGACAAGAGTGTTGATTATGAAGCCAAGCATGCTCAAATTGTTAATAATCACAGTCTCCTTTCTTTCTGTTGTGGTGCTGCCAATTGGTCCAGTGGTGAGAATGTCTTCTTGATGTTGAGTTTCAATTCATATTGCAGACTACAGTCGTTGACCTTCTGAAGCTAATGCATTCTTCAGGTCCTCTTCAGTTTCAGCCAGCAAGTTTCTGTCATCTGCATAACGCAGGTTGTTGATCAGTCTTCCTCCAATCCTGACACTGCTTTCCTCCTCAAAAAGCCCAGCCTTCTGAATGATTTGTTCAACATATATATTGTAAAGGTATTGAGAAAGGACGCATGCATCCCTGACACATTCCTTTCCTGATTTTGAAATATGCGGTGTTTCCTTGCTCTATTCTTACGACTGCTTCCTGGTCCAAGTATAGGTTTCACATGAGCAAAATCAAGTGTTCTGGGATTCCCATTCTTCTCAAGATTAGCTATAATTTGTTGTGATGCACACAGTCAAATGCTTTTGTGTAGTCAGTGAAACACAGATAAGCATTCCTCTGTTACTTTCTGCTATCAGCCAATATCCATCTGACATTGGCAATAATGCCCCTAGTGTCACA